ACCCCCAACCCTCACCCGCTAAGCGTGTAGTGACTTTTTCAATGTGGCAAACGAGGGCACTACCGAGCGGAGTTTAAACAAAACTAAGTTCCCGCAAAGTAACCGTCACAGTCCCCATGCTCATATCCCAGGTAACCATAACAGTTCCCATCTCAGTATCTGTCCAGTTACCATAATCTCCCCACATGCTCAGTTCAAGGAAACCGACACCGTCCCATGCTCAGCTTCGCAGGAGTCGTGTTTACACAATACTTCCAGTCATACCTCCCATGAGTGTAACAAGCGCGAGTATTGCTGTCAGCTGAGTGGAGCAAGTCAGTCGTCGCGCAATGCACGTGCTACTAAGAAGCCCTTCCACTAGTTCGGAAGAGGCCCCGTCCTCAAAAACCACGAGAAGACATAGTAACCCTGTCGGAGTCGCTGGTATTCCGTCCCTGTCCGCAATGCATTCGCCGCCCTGGGCAGTGATACGCTTGCCGACAGTGAGGAAACCGAGTGTGCCTTGACGTTGTTGTCCGAGACTCGTACCGTACCTTCCAGGTCGAGCCTCGTCAACCAGTGCCCGAGCCACGAGCAGCTGTGACTCCGGGGGATCTCGTCCCTGTCACCCTTTCATGTTCGGTATGACAACCCATGGACCGAAATCGAGCCCCACTGTCCACAATAAGCCTGTTCAGCTTTTCCTAGAACGGGTCGTGGTTAACATTGCCCCGCTCCCATTTTTTTTCCGAGACTTTGGGCCTTCACGCGGCCATGTTGACAGAGCCGTCTGCCATTCAGACCTTGAGAGGAGTCTCAGGTAAACCGCTGACGGTTCGCGGGCGCACAACGCTAGAATTTTTGTCCAGGGTCACAAGCTGTCCGCAAAAATTTTTAGTCGTAGATGGTAAATTGTTTTTCCATGGTGACCCTGCTCATAGGGTTCAAAACCATGGCAGATCTTAGGATCCGTTTAGATCCAGCGAGTGGAAAGGGGGAATTCAACGGAGTGGATGTGCCCTTCTGGGGCGTGCGCTTAGGAATCCACTACGTGCTACTCCGTCTCAGAGTAGCACAGTGCCTAGAATCGTTGGAAACCGGTGGTTCCATACACATTCTCCCCGGGGTCGGTCTCTTGTCCTGATCGCCCTCTGTAGAGCTCGTTGCCCCCTCACCTCCTGGCCATCAGCGCTTTGTTACCCAGTGAAACCCAGTCTGGGGACGCCCGTCTAACCTTCACTCTAACTCTGACGCTGTTGTAGAGACCAGCAGTTGTCCAAAGGCCGCAGTATCCCCCTTTGCAGGCGACGTCTGACTCGTGTCATGGCATCACGAGCAGAGTTACTGCTTGTACAAAGTATGACTTTACTTGTCAGCTAACTCGCTCACCATCCTGTTACGGTGTACGTGACAGAGCTTTTGAAGAGAACCATGTGCTGGTTGACAACGACACATGCCGAGTTCAAGGGCCTCTCCCTTGAACCATCCTTGCACACAGTGCAACGTGGTAAGTTGCAAGTCCTTGTTGTCAACATGCATAGTCGAGAATTTCCCCCTGCGGAAGAATACCTCACTTGTCGACCTTGTCAGATTCCTCTTCCCGGTGAGAGTGGAGGGTGAAGCCCCAGCTGACTTCCCCTTGTGAGTGCAGTTCTCCCAGGCGAGTCTGCTGCTGACTCTTCCAACACCCGGCCAGTGCAGGAAGATGATCTAGCTTTGACAGACTATCCTGAAGAGGTCCCAAAACTCTCCCCGGTTCTCAATCGTGCACGTTCTGCAGTTGCACTAGATGGTTTAGTCAATGGGTTTGACCCCACTGATCTCTCACCGTATTCCGCTTGGGCAAAGGTACTAAACCCATTTATGTACCTGCGTATCGCCTGCCACATGCGCAAAGAGTCTTCGCCGAAGAACTCATTACACGGATGCTCCGTGATGGAGTTATTGAGGAGTCCACTTCCCCGTGGAATGCTCCCCTTATTCTGGTTCCCAAGAAAGACGGAACCTGGCGCCCCTGTTATCGATTACAGGAAAACTGAATGCATGTACCATTCCCCCGACCGTTTTTCCATTGCCAGTTCTGAACGACCTGTTGCAGAACATCGGCGATAATAAGGTCTTTTCAACTCTTGATCTTCTCCAAGGGTTCTGGCAGATCCCCCTCGATGATGAGAGTAGAGAGTTGACAGCTTTCTCTACTCCAACTGGTCATTACCAGTTCAGGAGGATGCCCTTCGGGTTGCGCGGGAAGCCCAATCACGTTTAGTCGTTTGATGACGACAATTTTTCCGTACCCTCCTAGGTGGCACGCTCATGGTCTACCTGGATGATCTCATAGTCATGTCGCAAGATGTCCCGTCACATCTTGAGAAACTTGACAGGGTATTGGACAGGCTAGCTCAGGCAAATCTTCAGGTAAAGCTCTCCAAATGTCAATTCCTCCGGAAGGAATAAAATTTCAGGTCACGTAGAACCAGAATAGGCATAACATACGGACGCGTTCCCTAAAATCTCGGCCGTGCAGAAATTTCCCAGACCCATGACGGCGATGCAGTCCGGTCCTTCATAGCCTTGGCGGGTTCTTTACCGCACCATTAACTCGCAGGGTTCTCCACCATTGCTGCACCCCTGACACTGCTTACTCTCAGAAGGAATGCCCCTTTTGATTGGATGCGTGCGATCAGGACCTAGCTTTTTGTCATTCTTAAGAACTAGTTAACATCCAGCCCCAACCGCTTAAGATTCCCTGATTTACTCCAAGCGCATTTACCTTGGCGCGACTGATGCCAGCAAAGTTGGTCATCGTTGCAGTTCTTGTCACATAGCCTCTAAAGGGGAAGCAACAGCCTATTGTGCCTATGCTAACCGTGTTCTCCTAAAGCGGAAGTCCATTAATTCAGTGACAGAGCTAGAAGCTTAGCCAATGTATGGCCCTGAGGTCATTTTCGGGATATCATCTATCCATTAACCTATCACGCTATACAGCACATTTACCACCTTCGTGGCCCTTTTTGCGAATACGCACCAGCCTCGGGAAGCATGCTCGGTGGTCGCTCCCGTTCAATGACTACAACCGCCTGAAATTTGCTATGACCCAGGTAAGCAAAATGTTGTAGCTGATGCCCTGTCGAGACCATATATCATCTCGTGAGTAGTCGGCAAATCGTTCTCTGTTGAGATCTCGAGCAAGCCCCACGACAGACCCGGTGTGGTCGCTCCAGTCCTTCGTTCCTGACCAAGTAGGACCGTAACTTCCAGGCAACGCTCCTGTACCACTGAGGATTTAGTGACAACCCAGTAGTACTGTGCTGTGTCGCACAGCTGGTGGCCCCCGGCAGCAAACCGTAACCAACGTGGTGATACCAGCGTCCCTGATACCGAGTCATACTCTTAGGTATCCACAATGTCCCAGTGTAGCGCATTTCCCCCGGTGACGGACTCGCAGTATCAAGACAGCCCGAGAAGAAATAGTTTCTGGCCTAAGAAGGCATCGGACATTGCCGAGCATGTACACCAGTGGTGTTGTCTGCCTACAGCACAATGGTTACCATTACAGGTTCCAAACCCCATTCTAAAGTACCCATTAACAAAGGAGCCCTTGAGAGAACTTCTGTCGACCTTGACGAACGTTCTCTGACCTCGGAGAAGGGAAAATCCAGGCAACCTGCATGTAAAGTTGTCTCTCACATTTTTGAAACTTGACCCGGTACAGTGAAGTAGTACCCATCCCTGATAAAACCGGCGGGGAAACGGTCGCTAGTCGTCTTTCCCGTTGAGCATGGTTGTAGTCATCGTCAAACCGTAGCCCCCGTGTCCCTTCTGTCAGACAATGGTCTGAGTTTATAACATGGCCTAATGCAGGAATCTTTGCTCGCCAATTCACATTGCACAAGCGCCATACTCCACGCCCACCCTGCGAGTAATGGTCTGCTGAACGTACATATCACAAAGTCCCTGGAGGTGCTCAGAGTACCCGTTATACACCCCCAAGGTTGTACTCACATGGACGAGGCTATCCCCAGATATACATTTACCTTAAAATTCCTGGTCCTCCCTCAACAGCTCGATACGATGAGACACCTCATTCTGCTTTGTATTGCAACTGACAAGCGGCTTACCATAAATGAAATTCTGTTATACTACTCCACTAGACCTACATACGATACTGAAATACACCAAGTGTAAGTACAGATGCAGGACCACCGCAGCTTGTCTCCACGTTACGCGATAACCTTAAGAAAGCCACTGAAGGTTCAACGTCTGATCGCAATGCCCGCGCCAAGGAAGCAAAGTGAAGAACCCTGGTTGCAAAGTTATGTTTGCCACCCCGTGCAGCCCCCCATGTATGCACAAAGTTGTCCCAAAAGTTTGTGGGTCCTTACCGTGTCCTATCGACAGCTCCGTGGCAATAAGTCGAGTGTGAGGAAGATTTGCTACGGAACTATCATGAAGCCCACCTTGAACACATGAAGTATGTGGACCATATGCAGGCCGAAGTAACTGGAGGCGCGTGCGTTGCAAACGCCACGATCAGACTAATGTTAGGGACAAACCGTCTACCCTCTACCCACTACTCTGGTACGGAAGACGGCCCAGTAAGGCTCCATACTTATGGCCTGCGACCCAGGACAACAGTATATTTCTGTGACATTGACGTACCAACGGACTTTCCGACTCCTACGCTAGTTATGCAAATTGTTTTTGCTTTGCAGAAATGGGTATAAAAGCACACACATTGTATTAGCTAGTCGATAATTAGAGTCAGGGTGGACAACATATGTAAATTATGTAAATACCTTTTAGAAGGGTACCCAGAGTGGTAATGAATCATGGATATATATTATTGTACGTATGTGCATCAGTGTTTTATAAACTAAGTAAAAAAAAAGAGGCCGATTACGGTCAGGACAAGTGCTGCCTCTGAGTTACATGTCACACCTATGAAATGCTACTGTCAGCCATATGTTTGCAGATGTGAGCGTGCAATAACGATAGTAGACAGTGGTCAACTGATTTCAGACCCCTGCGGACAACCTGTATATAGAAGATTTTCGTTCCAGTGCTGACGTCTCCGGGCTCCTCTACTCGATGAAAACAGCGCGGCAAACCCATTTTCCTCCCCCTGGATGGGAGAGTTTTTTTTTTTGCCTGTTTCATTTTTTTGTCCATTTTTTGGATTTACTAGTGACGAAAGCCCGTCCCCTCTCTGGGGTAGCTAGTGTAATTCCTTATACCTATGGGCCACCAGTATTGTCGCGTTGGGACGACGCGAGTGCGTGGCCGAGCAAATGTAGACGCCTGTACTGTCAGAGCACACAGCCTAGCCGTCTGCTCTGACTATTCTATTCGCGGCATTCTCAGTGCTGCCCTCTGTAGGTCCTACCTAGGTCGGCTGGGACGCACAGTCCACCACCTCTCTCACTCCCGCCTCGACCGACTTGACGTAACACAATACTCCCCCCCACGGACTGGCTTGCGTCACTCCCTCACACTGCCCGTTGTGTACTCACTCCTACCAGACTTAAAGCAATCAAATCCACGGCCGTATCATTGCTACCCTACGCTACCTCATCCGGGCACTAAACCGCTGGTTCTGCAGCAGAACACAGAACATTAGAACTGATAGCTGGTGCTACCAGGTCGGTTGCCGTGTTTTCCACACCTTAAGTCAATGTGACCTGAACCTGACTAGGTTGGGTGCATTGTCTTAAGCCGGTAGGAGACTTTGGACCCTGCCTCGCATGGGCCCATAGGCTTCTGTCGTGTTCCTTCGTTCTTATGTTCTTATGTTCAGACAGCCTGTACTCTCTGCACGACAGCCCATGCTGTCTGCCACTTAGTTCATATTTTGCGCCAGCTGTGCTGCCACCTAGGGGGGTAGCTTGTCCACTCAGCCTGCCTGCCTTGCCACGCGCTCACTCACACAGCGGCCTAGCAGAAAGAACACAAGGCCTACTCCTAGCTCTCACTCGTGGGCATGGCCCTCCCAGGCCATGGGCACAACACACAAGCTGTGTACCCACCACGACTTTAACAATAAAGTAAGAAGCCTTCCGAAGACGATCATTTACTCTCCCACTACCAGAACACTAAATTAATCCTTTATAAATGGTGGAAAGCGTGGTCGCAGCAGTGTGTTTTTTGCCCTGAGAGAGGAAGGAAGGAAGGAATGCAGTTGTTCACATTCATCCCCCTACACAACAAGCCATTCCATCTCTCAACGAGTTATTCTGACGTCGTGTCTTCTGCACGTAATGAGCATCCTGACACAGGTAACAAGCAGGATCCAGCCCGAAAATTGCCGAAATTTCTTCGAGAATTGTAAGTGGTGTCCCAGTGACCCCACGCTGCAGTGTCCCACGCTGTTTCTCAAGTCACGTGTTTCAGCGTTACTTGTAATGTTGCTGTTGTTTTTCAGCCTCAGCATAACAGCTTGTTTAACAAAGCCAGAGGTGGTTTTTGTGCGATTTTTGCGTTTCCGTGTGAGTTCTCCACGTGTTTGTGGAGAGGAAGTGGCCGCTTTCCCTGCCTCGCCCTGCTGTACTCCACACCTCCACCAGCCTACCATACACACTCCGCTCTGCCAATCACCTCTGCTGTGTTTCTGTTGGTTTTTCTGTGAATTCATTGCCAGAGCTGTGTTGTCAGAGTGTCCGAGGCCACTCGAAGCTACTGGATCAGCATACCACGTAGATCACGACGCCACGTGGATCACGTGGCACCACGTGGGTGTGGGCGATGTCAACGTGGATCTACCCTAACAAACCACGTGAGTTTACCGAGCCAGATGTCCTACAGGCCACATGCTTGGTCTGCTGTCCTGCGCGCCCACATCATATTGACATCACCGATGCTGCTGCTCGACTACATGACGTACACGATGTCTGCGACGTCACCTCCTCGCGATGTCTTGCCTGACGCCACCTAGAGATGTCTGCTGACGTCACAGCGCTGCTGACGTCCATCACGTCTGACATCACATGGATGTTCACATCGAGTGTCAGTAATTATTTCAGATTGTCGAGAAGAATTGAAAGAAATATTGTCGTGTGTTTAATTTAATTCCCTCTCAGTAGTTGTTTCTCACATTTTAGTATGTGTCTTAGTGTCAGTTCTTGTGCACCAGAAAAGTATCATTTGCTAGTTAAGGCCAAATTGTACCGCATATACCGCGGGTGTGTTTAAAGTTTCCGTGTGTCCAGTGAGGTCTGAGCCACACCTGACTAGCGCCACTGTGCTAAGTCACCCGTGTGACCAGTGTGTTTGACAGCTGATTACTCAGCCCCGAGCGACCGAGCCCTCTTGTACAGAAAGCTTTTATGCTCGTCGCTCGTGATGTTCTGCAGAATCGTACCTACTATGATTCCCATCGAGATTTGTTTCACTTCACCTCAGACCTTCAGAATGCAGTTTATTTGTAGAGAAACAAGTCTGGGGACGCTTAGACTAACCTCTGCTATAACTCCAACTGTCGAGAGAATGACACACTGTGTCAGCCTCGTGTCACAAGCTTCAGTGTGCAGCCTGCACAAAGATGTCACTTTAACTGCTAGCTCTCTCACTGCAGTCTGGTGTATGATGTTACGACTCCCAGATGTTTCGCCAGTCGTCTCTGCCCACGACTCGCTCCACAACTCGCTCCACGCTCGCCGGTAGTGACAGCCCAGCGACAGTACCAGTTGAGAAGTGTCCTCCTGAGTCGCTTGCCAGAAGTCCTGCCCAGTTGCCGAGTTTTGTCGACGCCTCACTCGAGGGCACCAGCATGTCGTGCCCCAGGTTGAGTGAAAACCTGCAGCGACTCCTACGATGACGCTGCTTCACCGTTCCAGAGGAGACCGTATCCTGTTATGTCACAGCTCAGCCGCAGCGATGTCACCCGTGTTGCAGTATCTGTCCAGACGCAGGAAGGCATGCAGTGATGCCCATTGACTCTCACTGCCTTTGACCACGATGTGTAGCACACCCCACATGTTTTTTCTTCCCTCCCTGTAGGAAGTTTTTTTTTCCATATTCATATGTATATATATGTTTTTATTTTGTGTTCTGTGCCCTGTTCCTACGAGAGAGAGACCGAGTTTCTTTTACCACCAGTATTGTCGCGTCGGGACGATGCGCGGTAGGTGGCCGAGCGTATGTAGACAGCCTGTACTGTCTGCACAGGCAGCCCATGCTGTCTGCCAGCTTAGTTCATATTTCGCGCCATGCTGGTGCTGCCACCTATAGGCGTTGCCACTTCAGCCTGCCTGCCCTTGCCATGCTCTCACTCACACAGCGGCCTAGCAGGAAGACACAAGGCCTACTCCTAGCTCTCTCTCGTGGGCATGGCCCTCCTGGGCCATGGGCACAACACACAAGCCTGTGTACCCACCACGACTTAACAATAAAGTAAGAAGCCTCCGAAGACGTATCATTTACTCCCCGCTACCAGAACACTAAATAATCCTTTTATAGGAGGGGGTAAAGGAGGTTTTGTGTGCGAGGGGTTTGGACTTCCAGCAAGCATGCGTGAGCATGTTGGATAGGAGTGAATGGAGACAAATGGTTTTTTAGGGCTTGACGTGCTGTTGGAATGTGAGGAATGAAGGGATTCAGGGAAACCGGCAGGTCGGACTTGAGTCCTGGAGATGGGAAGTAGTGTCAGCACTCGGAAGGAGGGGTGCTAATGTTGCAGTTTTATAACTGTAGTGTAAGCACGCCTTTGGCAAGACAGTGATGGAGTAAATGATGGTGATTTTTTTTCTCTTTCTGGCCACCCTGCCTTGGTGGGAAACGGCCGATGTTTTAATTAAAAAAATAGTTACAAAGTGAGAACAAAAATTAGTTATGTTTCGTGTCATATTTCTTCACAAAAGGATATAAGTTTATACAAGGTGTTGAAATATATTTACCTGAGTTAGAAGGGCCAATGATGTTATTCTTAAGCTACAGAAGTTTCAAGCATGAATAGAGTTACTAATCACGGGAATTGTCATCTCTCAGGATAGCCTATCCCATATACCGGAAAAATAAACTTTTTATGAAGCTCTCTCTATCATCCCAAGGCGCGGGCAAGATCAATTATGCTTAGGATTTAAAGGACGCGCCCACACACACGTACCTTTGACAACTAGTAACTATTACTACACTGCAACCATACATAGGTGAATACACACTCATATAACATACAGTATGCATTTGCATATAACTGGAGCATCACTAGGATGCTAATGAGTGTTGCCAAATTTAGGGTGGATACTGAGGATATCCTCAAGCAAACTAAAACTAGATATTTACACGTTCCAAGTACCCATTCCACCAGGCCTAAAGTCAGCAACAACTGAACGTTCAGTTATATAATGGTAAAGGTCATGTGTCTCGTCTTTGTTTTTTTTTTAACAGAGCTTACATGCAGAATAATTAGGGACGGGAGGTTCACCTCCTGCAGTGGCATACAGTCTTCCACAGGTGACGAAGTCCCAACTTGATTCTGGCGTTTAAATAAGATAAAAAAAAAGGAAAGTACTCACTTTACGTAGATAAGAGAAGGACTGGTTGAGGAGGGAGGCGGCGCCACTAGCCTCCACAATGCGGCCAACACCATTATTGTCACTCAACTGCATCACAACTCTGGATATGTCTTCCTATATGGAAGAAAAAGACGCTTTTTTTTTAAATAATCTGTTTCATATATTCAACGACAATACAGCAAGTGGATTTAGGTTGCTATGTGACCTGAGAAAGGTATCCCCGCTTCTCATAAGCCCAGCCCCCTCCACCTTAATGAATGCAAAAAAAAAAAAAAAAGAATATTATATGGAAGTCAATAAATATTAATTAAAAACATAAAACAGGCATATGTAGGTATATGTACCTGCGTTGAACGCATGTATGAACACCAGAGTGTATTTATTTATACACGTACGGATGTAGACCGATGCATACATGTATACCCGTACATATGTTTATCTATGTGTATATATATATGTCGTGCCGAATAGGTAAAATTGGTCAATTAGCAAGAACGCTTTTAAAATTAAGTCCTTT